AATAAAAATTGGTTCATTGATCACTAACAGGTGGACCAATCTTGTGAATAAGTGGGATACCGCTATTTTTTTTGTGTTCTTGTGTTTGTTTTTGTTTTTATGCAGGAATCAGATCTCACAAGTTGTAAGAAATACATGTATAAACGATACTGTAATAAAAAGCAAATATACGTAAAAATGGTAAATAATGTCATAAAATTAATAAAACTGTACATATATCCTACAAACTAAAAAAATCTTTCAAAAAAAATGGTCAAAAAGACAGGACCCTGGCTAGCGACGCCTCCGGCTCGGACCAACAGCTGCCAAGGGGGTGGGGATGGTGGTGCGTCAATCGGATGAGGAACCATCATCAAATCCCTCTCCGGAGAAGTCTAGTGAAATCCCTCCACCTCTAACCTTGTCCCGAAGTCGATCCACCTCCAGCTGGAAACGGGTAACTGGCGCTGGATTGGCGAGATTGGTGCTTCCGCGAAACCACCCAATCTCCAAATCCGTAAGAAACAAGAAATATGTAACAGGGTAATGCAGACAAAAGAAGAAGAAAGTAACGCATATGAGATACATACCCTCTTCGTCGCGGTCAGCATAGAAGGTCGAGCGATGTAAGTACCGGGCGAAGCCGAACCACTGGCACAGCTCCTGATACCTCTGAGCAGGCCACTTTGCAGCACAGAAAGACATTTGGTGGCAATTGCTAAATGAAAAATGGGTTAGAAAGAAACTTTACTTATAGTAAGCGTGGCCCAAGCCCACCTCTCTAAGTCCAAAAGAAGGAGGGGCCCATCACAACTCGTTAGCCCATGAGGCCCAAATGGTTCCGTGTAAGGCCCATAGTGACCCCGTTCAAGGCAATTTGGACGTCGATACTGCAGTTCCGTACACTTTCAGCGATTTTGTCTACTCACCGCAACAGGGGGAAGCGAGCATCAAATTGCCCAAATTACCCTCAGGTAGTTTTCTCTCAAACACTGCATCAGGAAGGGTATACTTTGAAAATTTCAAGGCCTTAAAATTCTTCTGGCCTAAAATTTTTAACTAAATTTTTGCGCAAACCTTTCAAACGAAATTTGACAATAAACAATTGAAGGTCTACTAAGAAGATGATACTTTTGGTCACTAGTTCGGAATTTCCGGACTGGGGGCAAAAAAGTTAATCTTTGCCCTGATGCAATCTTTTGAAATTTATAATTAATGCATGGGGGGCATATGAAATGTCCCAAACATTCTTCTTCAACAAAAAGGCAAGGTCTGTTTGTACACAGATATTGCTCTTTTTTTTCTGTTGAACGCGATTTTTCAGGTCAACGGTGATGGTTTTTCTCTGAAGCCGTAGGTCCCACCAAGCAGTGATAGTGTATTACGAAAGCTGTTTGGATCATTCTCTCGATTAGTGATGAATGTATTGGCGAAGCCTGATTGAGTAATCCTTTACCTGATTAGTGATGATGTATTGCGAAGCTGACAGGACAATCTCAATCCCACCAAGCCAGTGATGATGTTATTAGTGGAAGCTGTTTGGGTTCTTTTCTGATTAGTGTGATGTATTGCGAAGCTGATCGAGTGAAATCCTTTCCTGATTAGTGATGATGTATTGCGAAGTTGATCAGGACAATCTCAATTCCCATCAAGCAGTGAATGATGTATTGGCGAAGCTGTTTGGGGTTCCTTTCTCGGATTAGTGTGATTTTCCTGATTAGTGGAATGATGTATTGCGAAAGCTGCTCAGGACAATCTCAAATCCCATCAAGCAGTGACTGATAGTATGCGAAGCTGTTTGGGTTCTTTTCTCGATTAAGTGATGATGTATTGCGAAGCTGATCGAGTCAATCCTTTTCCCTGATTAGTGAATGATTGTATTGCGAAGCTGATCAGGGACAATCTCAAATCCCACCAACCCCAGTGAATGGTGTATTGCGAAGCTGCTTGGACCTTTTCTTGATTAGTGATGGTGTTGTTGCGAAGCTAATCAACGAACAATCCTTAATTCAAATCCTCTAAAGCCGATCAAACTGAGCTGAGGAGGTGGACAACAAAGCCGATCAAACAGGGCTTTGGGAATCCTTAATCGAGTCAATGATGGTGGTATTTCGAGGTTAACTCAAATCTTGATTAGTGGATGGTGATTTGCGGAAGTGATCAGGACAATTTCAGTGACCCGAACAGTAATAGTGTATTAAACGAAGCTATTGGGTTCTCCTTCGGTCAATATGGTGTATTACGAAGTTGGCCCAGGGCAATTCAAATCCTTCGGGCCGATCAAACTGAGCGCTCGGAGGTGTCTTCAAAGGCCAATCAAACACAGCTTTGGAGTTTATTCATAGATCCGACTGGAGCCGATTGAAAGCGATCAAACCGAGCTGCAATAGGTGGCCAGAATGATCAAATCAAATCAAACATCTTTCGAACCCGACCAAAGACCGACTTTCGAGGATGATTCCAAGATTGAAGCCGGTCAATGGGATGGACCACTTTAAACATTAAAATCGTTTATAACAATTTAATCGATAAAAAGTGGGGGGGCAAACTGTTGAAGCGTGTTTTTATGCCCCGCTGATCCAATGACTGATACGAGGAAATGCAAACATGAATGGATTAATGCCATCTAGAAGTCTTTTTTGATTCCAAGGATAAATCAAACAATTTTAAGTTTCTGGTTGGGTCAGTCGGCGTCACCCGACTGCCAGTCGCGTCACCCCACGTGAAAATGAGCTGGCGTGACGCAGCTACAAGTTTGCGTGGACGCAGCTACAGTAAGCCGTGAACGGCAGCTATGTCCTGACTTTAACCTCTAAATACATCTCTTTCTCACATATTTTGACAGGGAGGTTTTCCCAAAAAAAAAAAAAAAAAGACAAGAACAAAAAAAGGAGACGGAATACGATTTTGAAACCTAAAACACTACACTATAAAGAAACCACAATTAAATCCCTTGTAAAGGGAAAGGATTTCTGGAAAATCTTAGCTATCATTTGTTAAGTAGATTCGATCCTATTTGCAAGCATAATCTGAGGATTAGGTAATTTCCTAAACAGTTCTTTGTATTTTTTTTATATATTAAATATTTTTGTGATTTTAAGCAATATTTTTTGTTGGTTTTAGTAATCTAAGTTCTTTAAATTATATTCATGTTTCATATTTGGCCCATTTTATATGTCTTAAAATCGTAATTTAAGTAAGAAATAATGTAAATAAAATATTTAAAAATGATTCTGGGCTAAGGACAGTGCATCACGCAAACTGTTCCTGGATGGAACAACAGTTGCGTCAACGCAACTGTTCCTTGGAAGAACATGTTGTGTCCCACGCAACTGTTCACATGTTTCATCCAGAACAATTGCGTCACACGACTGTGCAGTTGCCGTCAGCGACTGTGCATATTCACTGTTCACTAATTTCAATGGCCTCATGAGAAACAGTTGCGTCCACGCGATGTGCATTATTCACGTATGCACTATTCACTGTTCACTATTCATGGCTCATGAAGAACAGTTCCGTGTCACCGCGACTGTTCATCCAAGAACAGTTGCGTCAATGCGACTGTTCATCGATTTTTTTCCAGAAAAATAAAAAAAAAATAAAAAAATAATAATAATAAATTTTTATCGAAATAAAATCTAATTTCTTCAAATAAACTTGAAAATGCCCCAATATGAACAGATTACAAGTTTAATACAACTTAGAATACTAAAATGTTATTTTATGTTGTTTATTTATATGAAATTTTTGCAAATTTATGTTTAAATGAAAAATTAAAATTAAGTTTGGTTGACTTTATTTATATTTAAGATTAATTTGCATGTTATTAACAATTTGTCATTCTAGTGTTAAATAATAAAATAGCATGTATTTTGGGTTTAATGGGTTGGATTTAAATCGGGTAGAAATGGTATTTTAAGGTTGGTTTTTTGGTTGCTTGCCTTGAACCATAAGGCAAGAGCGGGTCATTTATTTATTTGTTTAATATTTTCGGTTCAGGTTTAATTGCCCGCCTTTAAACCATAAAGGGCAAGAGCGGGTCTTTTTATTTATTTGGGTTGATCTCTTTGATTTTAAATTTGCCTTTAATCTGAAAATAATTGCTACTGTGATAATTAGATTTGATTGGGCACGATTAATTAATTTTCCCACATAGGAATCGTTCGATTTTAAATCGGGTTTTCGGGTTAATTAAATACAATTGGTTTTTCTAAAAAATAAAATCAATTAGAAAATCGTGTTAAAAGAGGGCCGGTTTTCCTGGCGTCGACTTCCAACGGGCCGACGTATCCAATTCCCTTACCTAGATCGTACTTGGTACGCCTGACCTAGTTTTTTCAAATAATCGGCCTAAATAAAAAAGGGGTTAAAATGGAGTCCACTTTTTATAAATAAAATTGGAAACGGTCCCATTGCCGGAAAAAATGGGTGGCGACTTCAAAATAATTTATAAGCCGATTTATCGGCATTGCAGCATCCAAAAAGATTTTATCCACTTTTTCACAAAAAAAACAATAAATGAAATTAATAAAAGACTGTTTTTTCGAAATCCTTCCGGGGTTTTCGGGATTTCGGCGAAAACCAGTTTACCATCATATCAAATTGATATGGGCTATTGATCCCTTCATAACATTTTGTAGGTTTTGTCTAGCTTTCTAAGTGAAATTTAACTTAACTCAATTTTGGAGACATATAACTCAAGTTAGTGTCTTTTAAGAAAGACAGCAAAGGTCAAGTTTAATTTAATGCTATAAAATTTATATGTCCTGAAACATAGGTTTAATTTTAGATAAAAGTATGGTAAAGAATCAGGTGTGAGGAAGTTTCTCTTGATTATTTGTATTTTAATATTTATTTGATAAAAAATAAGACAGTTTGGAAAAGTGGTTATTGTGGGATATGTTTTAATGGATATAAATGGAATAAAAATTGTTGGACCAGTTTGGGAAAAGAAGTGTGAAATTGGTTGATAAATGCATAATGAGGTGAAATTGGATACTTTGGTGCATAAGAGTTATGTTAGGCATGCTTGAAAAAAAAGAGGAATTATACTGAAAATCAATCATAGGTTTTGGCTTTCTTTATTGGGCGCACCTGATGAATCTAGATTTGATTGCAAGCTCGCCAGGGTGACCTCCTGTGTGAGCGCTTGAGATCTAGATTTGAATGGAGACGACCGGGTTCCTTTTGATATATATAAAAAAAAAGAGAAAGAGACTGGCAAAATATGAGAGGGAGCTGGTTCCGTGTGAGGATTATACCGGTCAGCCATAATGGAGGAATTGCCGGTGCAACGATGTAGTGGCTTAGGCCATGTGGGAGGACGGCTCATCGGTTTCGGTGACTCCACTGACTAATTTCCACGTGAAATGATTATATTGAAGGTAATAATAATTGTGATTGCTGTTGTATTGCCATTTGTGTGAAACTTCATGATCATATAATTTAATTCGGTGAAACCAAGATAAAAATATTTTAGGCATCTCGTCGTGATTGTGTGGGGTGAGAGGGTTTATCTAACCTAACTCATTGAGTTTGGCGCTCACCCTGCCTACTATTTTTTTTTCCAGGTAATAGAAAGAAAGGAAAGTCCTAATGGGAGTTGAGAAACACTTATTATAGAGCTGTTATGATAGATAATAACGATGTAAAAGTATAAGGTAGGTTCCGCAATTGTATTCCTAGGTGGTTGTAAAATAAATAATAAAGTCTATGTTAAATATATGAACTGTATTTTGGAACATATGTGAAATCAGTTAATGGGCCTGAATCCATAATTATGAAATTTAGATGTGGGATTTAAATAAGTTAGGCCTTACTACGGGCTTCAGGGCCTTAAGCCCACCCCAGGTCCTAGTGCCGGTCCGCCACCACGAAATGGGTCATGAACAGGAAATTTCTCATAATTCCTTTTCTTTTAAAACTTTCTTAAAGTCATAATGAAATTTATCATATAAAATATACTTTCTTTATTCAAAATTCAAAAGCACATACACTTTAAATTCCCATTTTTTCTAAAACTCTAAACATACCAAAGTTATCAAAAAATAATCATACTTATATATATATAAGTATATATATATATATATATATATATATATAATATATATATATACCATAAACATAAAAAAAAAATAATTAAGTAAGCCTTACCACCCTAAAGTGGTTCGGTCCTCTAATGAAAACCAAGGGGAGGGATTTCCTTCTCAATCAAGCATACTATTCTGTTTTACATAATAAGTAAAAAAAAACATCTTATGCAACTAAAGTATCCATTTCAACCCTCATCATGCATTAGATCTAAACCAATTCCACACTTTTTCCCCCGAAATTTCAAAAATTTTGCCATTTATCTCATTTAAACAATATCCACAACAAAATTTTCAAACTTGTCTTATTTTTTAATCAAAATAAATCCTAAAACATATAAATAATAAGAAGAAATTCTCACAATGATTTTTACATAACTTTTATCTTAAATAAACTATGTTTTCAAAGACATAGAAATTTTTTTCAGCATTAAAAAATAAATTGACATTTGCTGTTCTTAAAGGCATAACTTTGAGTTATAGGTTCCAAATTGAAGTGAAGTTTAAATTCAATAGAAAGCTAAGACAAATGCTACAAATTTTATGAAAGGGATTTAGCTCAGATCAATTTGTAAGATGGTAACAAAGGCTAGAAACACTGACCAAACAGTCCAAACAATGGATTCAAACAGAACCAAATCCAATGTTTTATTAAATTCCCACTTATCCAAACACTCAAATTAACCCAATCCAAAACATGGACTTTAAAGAACACATGGAAACAACTCTCTGAAGAACTCAGCAACATAATCTTGCCATTATAAATGGTCAAAATGGGCACTCAATTCAGTGATGCATGTTGGCCCGACATAACAAAGTCAGTTTGGATTTTTAGCCATAAGTTTTAGCTATATATACCATTGGACACAGGGATGATTTGGAAATTTCTAAGAATATACCTAAACTTTTATGAAAAAGCTCAGACACAATTGAAAAACAAAAGAAAAAAATAGTCCTTAAACTCAACCAATAGCAACATGTTTCCCAAAATTTCAAAGTTAACTTTAAACCATCAAAGAAACTGAAGAGAGAAGTTTACCATGGTAGAGATTTCTAAACATACTACCATCTCATCAAAATCATCGCAAGCGCATGTTTTGCAACAAAAGTTTCAACAAATCAAATCATTTCATTACAAATCCCAAAATATATACATGATAGCCATAAATGGCATCAAAATCAAAAATTCCAAGGTAAGTGTGGTTTATGAATATAACCTTAAAACAAGCTTGGATTAAAGTTCCTAAGCCTTAGCTTTGCCATTACACCTTCTTAGAAAGGTTTCCCCAACCTTTGGCTCAAAGTAGAAAATCTCCAAATTTCTTGAAAATTAGTCACAAAACCACTTCTCCACCTAAATTCTCTAGGATTTATTACTTAATCAAAGTTTAATGAAATATGTTTGGTGGATTTAGTAAAAGTAAAATTGAAGAAAAATATGGAGAAGAAGAAGAAGAAGTTGAACGCCTAAGGAGAGAAGAAAGAAGAAGACAATGAAAAGTGTTTGCTCAATTATATGAAGTGTTGACTTATATAAGTAATCAAAGGTCTTTTTAGTCTCTTTGTTCCATAATTGGGTGGCTAGGATTGAGTCAATAGTAATCTAATTAATAGGGCTACAAATATTTTCCAATTAAACTTTTTCAAAATATTATTTTCACCACAAAAATTCTTCAATTTAACTCCATAAAAATAATTCCTGCAAATTTTCTTAATTAATAAAGCATATAATTCACTCATTCTCTAAATTTATCTAATCTCCAAAAATATTCAATATACTACTTTCTAACCATAAATCAATGTATGCATACTTCCAAATATTAAAATAAAAAATATAAAAATAGATAGTAATTTTTACGATGAAAATAATACAACTTCCGGACTGATAGTACTATTCACAGACCAGTGGTACTATTCAATAAGATTGGTAAATCACTTATCCATCCATAAGTTTTAATTATACTCAATATCTTCCTCGGGTCTAAATAAAATATTATCCTCTCTATGCAGCACCATTCCTGACTCGATAAAAATAATACTATTTTTAAAGAATTCGAAAATTTGGAGCATACAATTACTACTGCAAACTGTATAACGATTCAATCCTTGCAAGAATTTTTTCTTAATATCTCATTGACCTAGTACCTTCGAGTACATCCAATCTCCGATTAGTCCTGCAATTTTTTTACGTAAATGAACACTCTTTGTTTATAAAGTGTAAATTATGGTAATTTTGCCTTAGTCCAATCATCCTTATAATAAACAAAAGTAATGTTCCATTTTACATTTCCTAGTTACTAATTATTCTATAAACAAGGGTGACTATGTATATATGTAAACTACTAAGGTTTATTTCTAACATAAGGTTACTATATATATTTAAACTTACTATAATATCGTATAGTTAAGCGATTCCTCAATTCAATTTTTTTAAAATTTCGATCAACATTTTCGGCATAAACATTAATCAAATACTCAAGTCCAAAAACACTCACAATAAACTTCTAATATTAATCCAACATTCTCCAAAGTAAAAATGGCACTACTTAGGGCTCCAACTCAAACGCATCATTCATGTGATTTTCATCAAATAAAACACAAATTAATATAAAGTAATTTTAAAACAATAAATATTCAATACGCTCATTAATTTGATACTATAAAATTTTTTTAGTATTAAATTACACTCATTAATTTTTTTATAAATTTACAAATTATTTAAATACTATAACTTATTTCTTGCACAAAATACTATAACTTTTTGTTATAAGTTACACTCATTACTTTTTTTTTCTTAAAATTACACTTATTTCTAATAATTGTGCCATTATTTTTTTAGCAATTCAGATTTAAGGTCATTTTTCTATTATCCATTAATTAGTACAATTTTTTAACAACAAAAATATTATCCCATTCTACAAAATTATTTAGCAAACAAAAATTTTAACAAAAACATTCACACAAAAAAAATTTTAACAAAATTACACAAATAACAAATACTATTTAAAATTACCAAAAAAATATAAATTCAAATTCACCAACATTCATACAAAATAAAAAAAAATTTACAGAAAACAAAAAACAAAAAAATAACAAATAACAAATAACAAAATCAACATAAAATAAAATCAAATTTCAATTACTTTGCAACATAAAAAAAAAAAACGCAAGAAAAACAAACATAAAATAAAAGGGTAAGAGCACCTACCTGACCAGCTGACGATGTGTCTTCTCCGGCAACAGTGGCGATGTCCGGTGATAGCAGTAGCAAACAACGACCAACAAAAATGGTGGAAGTGGAGGAACCAGCTGCAGGAAATGGAGAGAAAACGGGAGACCAATGCGCGCTGTGCTAGCGACCAAGGCAACCTAGGGGTTATAAAGCCCTAATTTTTTGTGACCGATGGGTCGGTTGCAAATCATTTAAAAATCGGTCGCAATTTTTAATCTTGTGATGTCGATTTGTAATCAAACAAATTGTGACCGATTTGCGATCAAAATAGTCGGTCGCAAAAATATCTGTCGCAAATCCCTTGTAAACCAAAAACTAAATTTTGTGCTGAATTGTAGTGCGCAATTTTGCGATGGATTGTGAAACGGTCGCAAATCCGTCACTAATTCGTCGCAATGAGGTCGTAAGTAGAAACCAAACGGGCGGAAGTTATTAGCACTAGAATTAGTGATCGATCTGCATGCGGTCGCAATTCCATCGCTAAATTTATCGCAGTATGGTCACAAATCCGTCGGTGAATATTAAATCTTTGTTACTTTAACATTCATCACAATTGATCGTAACATCATGGCAATATAGTTGGTCGCAAAAGCGCATTTTTTTGTAGTGATTTTTTTGGTTAGTTAGGGCTTTATAAATTTAAAAAGCAAGCTAACTTATTTCAAAAAAAAATAAAATAAATCGACTTCGGTGCCATTCGTTATTTGGTTCACTTTGATTTTTTTTATAAAAAAATGGATATAATAATTATCTCTTGGCTTTATATAATTAATTATTTATTTATGTTGATTACATGTAACGATATCGCACATTGTAATTTCCATTTTTGCATTAATAAAAACGCATTAGCTATCAATGAAACAAGTAGAAGAATTTGGAAATCGTTGCACTTAACTTAGGTTAACTGTCGCCACCCACTTCCCATCGTCCAAAAACTGTCCTAAATCAACTGAAAAAGGAGAAAGGTGGGTCAAGCGCAAGCCTCTTAGTAGTAACTCTTGTTTGACACACAATCACTAACAGATTTAAATTCTTATATAAAACCAACCAATTGAAGAAAAGTACGAAAGAATCAGTTTAGTCACATGAAAAGAATCAGCAGCTCACCAAATCATACCAATTGGGCCAAAAACTGCACGCCAAGAAAAATACAAATTACTATACTCCCTCCCTCCCTCCCATATAACACATGACCTCCACGGCATCACCTATAACCGACCATTCTGCATTTCCTATCATCCTAACACCATGATCAAGCCCAGCACCAACCTCACATCCCCTTTTTTCTCAGACGACCTTGCCGTCAACTTCATATCCCGGCGAGTCGTTTTCTTTTTCTTGCAAGATATTCAAATTTTAGAACTTATCCTTGCTATTTTGGTGTTCATTGCCATACATTCTCTAAGGCACAAGAAACGTTACGGCCTTCCAGTATGGCCGGTTTTAGGTATGCTACCGTCTTTGGTTTTTGGTCTTCGAAGTAACATGTACGAGTGGATTTCCGATGTACTTTGCCAGCAAAATGGAACTTTTAGATTCAGAGGACCATGGTTTAGCAGTCTCAATTGTGTAGTGACTGCAGATCCCAGAAATATTGAGCATCTTCTCAAGACCAGATTCACTTATTTCCCTAAAGGCCAATACTTCCGAGACACACTTCGTGATCTACTCGGAGATGGGATATTCAACGCGGATGATGAGACGTGGCAGAGACAAAGAAAGACGGCAAGCATTGAGTTCCATTCTGCTAAGTTCAGGAAACTAACTACGGAGTCATTGAATGAACTTGTCCATTCTAGGCTCTTACCAGTCCTGGAAAATGCAGCTAATGACTTCATATCTATTGATCTACAGGATATTCTATTGAGGCTCACTTTCGATAATGTCTGCATGATAGCCTTTGGTGTTGATCCAGGTTGTTTGAGTTTGGGTTTGTCTCAAATACCATTTGCTAGAGCCTTTGAAGATGCAACACAGGCCACAGTGCTGCGTTTTGTTACTCCAACATGTATATGGAAAGCCATGAGGTATCTTGATTTGGGAACCGAAAGGAAGCTAAGAGCATCCATAAAAGGAGTCGATGAATTTGCCCAACAAGTCATAAGAACAAGAAAGAAAGAACTGTCTTTGCAAACTGAGTATATTAATAATGAGCAAAGATCAGACCTCTTGACAGTGTTTATGGGATTGAAAGATGAGAATGAACAGCCATTTTCGGACAAGTTCTTGAGGGATATTTGTGTAAATTTCATTCTTGCTGGCAGAGACACTTCTTCAGTGGCCTTGACTTGGTTTTTCTGGCTTCTTGATCAACATGAGCAAGTGGCGGAGAAAATTCTTGCTGAAATATACAAGATAATTATGGAGAGAGAACATTTCAACCCCGAAACTCCATTGGTGTTTACGCCAGAGGAGATAAAGAAGATGGAATATTTGCAAGCTGCTTTATCTGAGGCCCTGAGGTTGTACCCGTCAGTGCCAGTCGATCACAAGGAGGTAAACAACCTTAAACATTTTTTAATAACATAATTCTTGGATAAATAAGAATTTTATAAATTTCTGTATTTCGATTGTGTGTGATTACTGAGTATATAAAGGATAAAACAATAATATTTGTTTACAAATTAATTTCATTTTATAATAAACAAAAATGAGAATAGATATTAAAATTTTTGCATAAGGATCAAGAAGACAATTAATTCTCTTAAATAATAATAAGCTCAAAGGTAATTTGATCAAATTATTTTTTATCTTAAAACTAATTATTACTTGTGAAGTATTTATTACATTTAGTATAAACAAACCTAATATTAAAAAAATTATTTATTAATTTTTAAAATATGTAAAACGAACTATACTTTAAAATAAAATAACATATTAAAAATAACTTATATTTTAAAACGGAAGAAAGAGAATTTTAATGGAAACTTTTTCTTTCGAAATAACAATTTAATTTAATTTAGTGGAGCTAGATATTTTTGTGGATGTTTATCTAACTTTCCCCAAGCGTATAGTAAAGTCAACACCTAGGCCCTTTGTGGTACGAAAACTAGATTGTCAATATCATAAAAATCATTGCATTATTATAGGATTGAGAATATTTGTTGGCTCGTGAATATTTTTGGTACTGTAATTACCTAATTGGTTAACCAAATAATCAAATTAATTAATCAATTAATTATCCGGTCAATATTTTGGTTACCTAACAACAAATTTTTTTATTTATATATCTACATATATAAATAAAAAAATGTTTCTCTGATGTTATAGATAATTGAAGACGACGTATTCCCAGATGGGACCGTCTTGAAGAAAGGAACAAAAGTGATATATGCAATATATACAATGGGAAGAATGGAGGCTATATGGGGAAAGGATTGCAGGGAGTTCAAGCCGGAACGGTGGCTTAAAGATGGGCGTTTCATAAGCGAATCTGCATACAAATTCACTGCTTTCAATGGTGGCCCTCGCCTGTGTTTAGGGAAAGATTTTGCTTACTATCAAATGAAATTTGTTGCTGCCTCTATCATATATCGGTACCACGTGGAAGTAGTAAAAGATCATCCTGTGCTTCCAAAGCTTGCTTTGACTATGTACATGAAAAATGGATTGAAGGTGAATCTAAGAAAACGGGATCATTATAAGCTTCATCAGACCTCTAATTAGTCCTGAAGATCATATATTTGATGCAACAATCACACTCTATACATTGTCAATAGTTGTGATTTTTTTTTTTTTTAAGATATAATTACATTTGTATCATTGTTATTAGCATTACACACTATACATTCACTTTATTGATACTACACATCAATAATAATGGATTTAATAGCGGTTGTACTTGTTCATGGCATTTGTAGAATTATTTTGTGGTGTCTTCCTTATTATTGGTATGAATAAATAATTTCAATTGGATTGAACATCTTCGGCTTCATGCCTTGTATACAAATAGGAGGTTTCTTCTTTGTTGATTTATATATTCATTTAGCGCGCTAAAATAATTAAGGCCATTATGAAATAAGCATGCTAAAATAATATTTTAGCACTCAACTCATTTCAAATAATCTATGCATCTAATATAATATAATATAAGTATTTGACATAATATAATCTATGTATCTAATTTAATCGATTCCTTTGGGAGGACTACTCCTTATTGTAAAGTACTATCGGACTTCCTAGTGAATAAAAAAATGTATTTTAATTTCTTTTCTAATTAAATTCGAAATTAAAGTAGTTTTAAATTTTTTTGTAAATTTAAATCAAAATAATTGAATTTATATAGAACATACTAAAACTGTAATAATTGCAGTTATATATAATAAAATAATTTAATTTTAAGGTAGAAGAACAATTAAATATGAAATATAAATAATTTTATTTATATAAAAAGAGTCTTAAGAGGAAACAGAATATAGAAGTCCAAAAACTTCCTAAAATTCATAACTATGTAATTTTAATTTAAAACATATAAGGCAAATTATTTATAATTTCACGTTATTACATAGTGGGATAATAATAATTTCTCTGTACTTCTCAATTCTTTCTATTTGAGTGCGGAGTGGAAAACATCAATTGAGTATCCAAACATTTTAAAACACCAAAATATTTTAAAACAATTTCAATTAAGTACCCAAAAAAATCCCTAATTCTAATTTATTGTTCATGGTTATAGGATGTCTCTTCTCCTTATGCTTAAGATCGAATGAAACCACTGCTTTTTTATTTGTTTTATGAATTGAAATTTTCTGTTTTTATTTATTATATATGAGAAAAAAATTGAGTGCTGACTGGAAAACATCAATTGAGTACCCAAACATTTTAAAACACCAAAATATTTTAAAACAATTTCAATTGAGTATCCAAACATTTTAAAACACCAAAATATTTTAAAATAATTTCAATTGAGTACCCAAAAAAAATCCCTAATTCTAATTTATTTTTTCATGGTTACAGGATGTCTCTTCTCCTTACGCTTAATTGTCACAATCCGTTTCCATGGGCCGGACCGGCACTAGACGCTTAATTGTCACAATCCGTTTCCATGGGCCGGACCGGCACTAGGGCCCAGGTAAGCTTAAGACTCCCGACGTCCGTAGTAAGCCTGAAACACTAACATCTACTATTTCAATATAAATTTCAAACATTCAGCCCATATTACTATAAAAAGAAAAATAAACCTCAAAATTTTTATTATACCTTAACCCAAATTTACCCTCATATTCAACACTTCCACAATTTTGAGTCAAAATTTACAAATATAATCACATTTTTAAATATGGGCTCACAGAATTAATTTCGTCTATATTAAGTAACGACTAAATGCTATATAATTTCTACAACTGCATGATCACTAAACTGTTTTGATTTACATAGCTTTTTATACATACTAATATAGTTACATAGCAAAATAATTATGGAACTAGAAAATTTTCTTTATAGCCCTGCGGTGAAGAAACATAGCCTAAATCGAATTAAAGAGAAACTTACTTCCTGAAAAATTAAATAAAACATGTAAATTTTCTAAGGAGTAATAATTATTGCACAATACACGCATTCACACAAATGTATAAATATATCAATCTAGTCGTCCGATTAGTAAATGCTCACGCAGACAGTCACACAAATGACATAACAACAGCACTCACACTTATTATCAACTTCACATAATCACATCACGTGGAAATTGGTCTATGGCATCACCGAAACCCCCAATGAGCCGTCCTTACACATGGCCTACCTTCTCATAACGTGTGCACTTAACGTGTGCACTAGGGAGCCGATCCCCCATACATAGCCGACCGGTCTAATCCTCACTTGATTAGCCCTTTCATTGTTTTTCCATTCTCTCTTTTCTTTTCCATACCAACAGAAAGCCACACTGTGGTTATCCATATTATCCATATCATATCATCAGATGCACACGGGTGCCGATCTCTCATACGGTCAACGGTCTCGTGGACCGCTCTCACAAGCCCACGGTGACCCACTTCATCCCAACTCCACACAAGGCATAGCATTATCACAACACAATTAATCAAGTATTGCAATTAAATGCAAACATATTGATCAATTAAACATCGTAATGCAATGCTCAATTAGACATCCATACTCAAATTCAAATAAATAAATAAATAATATTAACAACAGACAACAATGATAAAATAAATAATAATAATAATAATAATAAACAATAATAATAAAAAAATTAATTAATTAAATAATGATAATAATAAAATAATTAGAGCATTTTATTTATTATGTATCAAGTTATAGAATCAATCTAAATAAACTTATTAATTATGTGTAGCCTAGATTCTACCGAAATTTATTTCAAAATAAACTTATTAATTATGTGTAGCCTAGATTCTACCGAAATTTCAGTAGAAACTCCCCAAAAATTTGACTAAACCACAATTCAACAATATAACATCAAAGCCCATCCGTCGGGCAATTCACATCAACTCATCCCGTCCATCATAAGGGCCATACGACTAATAATTGCTCACGATTGAGGCATGAGATATAAGATTTGATCGACAGCGATAAAGTGACAAATCCAAAAAAATCAAGGCCGAGCACGAGGACTAATCCACTTTCGAAACTTAGGAACGTGCCGCCTCCTAAGAACTTATATATGGTTGAGTATAGAAAGACTCCCGAGGAGGTGCTAGCCGAGTTTGAAGAGAGGAGGAAAGAGAGAGGGAGATGCCGTTGGAATAAATTTATGTGATGGTGCTAAATGTGTTGGATAGTGATGAGGAGTGGTTGGAACAAAGCGTGCAAGTTTGGGTTGGAAGTGAAGATGAAGTAGAGGTGAATCTCGTTATTCTAGCCGTATGGAGTAGCAAGGATGAGAAAGAAGCAAGAGTAGTGAGCCATGTGACCCGCAGTGGTCGAGTGTATTAGCCAGCTATGACCAAGCCGAGGGAAGAAAAAGAATAAGCGAGCTCATTGGATATGCCAAAGAAGGAAGTAGAACATGATGCCCTGATGAGACAATTGAAAAGAACCCATGCAAACATAAGCATATGGGATCTGTTGGTATCATCAAAACAACACCGATAGGCTTTGCTAAAAGCTGTGGTGGAGATTCCGATTTCATCATCCATTTCTCTAGCTGATTTTATGGGGATAGTGCACCATGATTCCCTTATTATCACTTTTTCTAATGATGAACATCCTCCTGAAGGAAGGAATCACACTAAGGCGTTGTTCATTAAGGCTAAGGTCATAGGAAGGGTGACCGGGAATATGATGATAAATGATGGGTCAGCTCTGCATGTTTGTCCATTAAAGCTGTTTTCCAAGTTCAATTTAGAGTTGTCTAATTTGGAATCTTCTAACGTTGTGATTAGACCATATGACGACTCTAAGAGACAGGTTGAGGCATCTTCAAAACAGTGGTCAAGGTGGGGTCGATTGAAAAGGAGACTGAATTTATAGTCATTCATATCCCCTCTACATTTGCTTTGCTACTTGGGCGCCATGGTATCATTCCTTGGGAGGTGTGCCTTTAACGCTACATCAAAAAATCAAATTTCCTTACATTGAGAAAATCATCACTGATACAGATCCACTACCACCAACCACCTATGGAGCTCAAGGGAACAAGGGCCACAACAATGGCAATCCATTAGTACTTCCTAGTGGACCAATTCTAGTGACAAATTACGAGGAGCCGTGCAAAAGAAGTATGGGAGCAACCATCGTCCTTATAACACAAGAGCTCCATGACCTTGCTTTCAACAAATGCTATGAAGAACTTGAAGGAACTCCTAAGTTTCTCACATTAATGGAAGCACAAGTTGAGAGGGAATCTGAATTTCCAGCATATAGCATGCCTAGAAAATGCTATGTTAGCATGCCCGTGCAAGGTGGCACGCCCCAGACCGTGCAAGCCTCTGCCTCTCGCAAGGAAAAGGAACATCACTTGATTTGAAGCACGCCCGTGCCAACTAGGACGCCCCAGACCGTGCACTCTTCTGCCTCTCGCGAGGGAAACTCATACATGCACGCATGCCCGTGCCAACTAGCACGCCCTAGGCCGTGCAAGCCTCTTCCTCTCGCGAAGGAAGCCTTACCATTGAGGCACGCCCCAGGCCGTGCAAGCCACTGCCTCTCATTAAGCTAGTTAGTTTATTTTGATTTTTTGCTAGGTTAATGGGTTGGGCCTTCCATAATTCGGCCACCATTGATTTTTAGCCTTATTTTGTTTAGATTTAGTCAATCTTTAGTAGATTTGGATTAGATATCCAAATCCTTAAGTTGCTATGATTTTGTTAATCTTATCCTTCGTTGGTTTAGATTTGCTAAATCCGCTACTCCTTATTTAGTTATTCTAAATCCTTTAAGGATCAGGTCTTTTAGATTTAGTATAAATAGCATTGTTATGTTGTTAAACAAATCATTCAATGAATTAATAAATTTTCAGATTTGTTCATGCTTTTGGCGTGTTCTTTGATTAGAGTGATTGTAAGATTGCTTTCCTCTAATTGCATCAACAATCAAGGTAAACTTATCAATTTATTTGTGGCGCTTATCTTATTCTTTTACTCTATTATTAGTATTCTTGCTTCCTTAAGCTTTGGGTGCCATAAAGGGGGAGTTTAGCTTGATCTTTGAACTATTCCAAATCTTGTCATAGAGTTCTTGGATCCATAGGGTTCCGCGTCACAATGGAGTCCAATATGGTCTAAAAAGGAGAAGAAGCGCACATGAAAATGCATGGATTCTAAGGAGAAGTGGTCGGATTCTAGCAAAGCTCAATGTGGACAAGCAAGTAATCCTCCCATGGATCGATTTTCAGATTGATGTGCTTAGCATTGAGATGGGGCCCACTATCTCC